GTAGCCCCATGTAGAGCGCATTGCAGTAGTCTATCTGGGAGATAACAAGGGCATGAGTAACCATTCGAAGGGCATAAGCTTTATATATGCTAACTGCTGCAAGAGTATTATATGCTTCTTATGGAAAGGTCATTGGATGCCCTCAACAGAAGAATAGCTAAGTTGTGTGACTATGCTCTGATGTCTATAATAACTTCATAACTCAAAAACAAATCTGTCAGATAATTTAGTTAACACTGGAAACAATTTCTAAATTACAACTTAATATATGGATTTGTATCACATCCAAAATTTGGCTTCCTGTATGTATATGTATGGAGCCTATATTCTAATTTCACAGGATATCAAAAAGAGAGATTTACTAATATAATTTACTAATTTTACTCAGTGATTTATATTATGGTGACCATAGTTCTTGATATTCATTCTTAGTTTAGAGTTTAATAGTGATTTTTAGTTGTTAAAACAATATAATACATTCAATTATTTACAACTAATTATGTTATACTGGAAAATTATAATCTCCATGACATTTCTAAATCCTTTGTTCACTGGATTTGTATTTTACTTTTTATTCTTCCTTCTTGTCTTTTAGTTATGTCTGTTTATATGTCTTCTTTAATGTTCAATAAAAATACAAAAAGAAAAAAAGTAAATCAGGAGAGTGGAAAGTCAGAAAACTAATATTATTTCAACAGGAAAACTAGAAAAATTTAAGGTAAACAAAATGACAGAAGTAACTGAGAGTTACATTTTTCTAGGCCCCAGAACTGATAAAAATGGTGGGTGTGCAAAACAGATTCAGAAAAGAATAACAATGGGCAAAAAGGTATTGAGGGGCCTCATGAAATACAGAGGAGTTTTAATCAAGGCAAAAGACTGATTGACCAACTCAGTTGTATTCCATATTATGATATACTGATGTGAGGGATGAACTCTGTACAGGAGCAAGAGGAAGAATATTGATTCCTTTGAGTCATGGTGTGGAGAAGACTGCTTTGCATTCCTTGGATAGCCAAGAGAATAAACCATTCAATACTAGAGAATTGAAGTTCACTGGAAGAAGGGTCATTAAACAAAAACTATTATACTTGGACCCATCATAAGGGCTGATGCGTCTATGTACAAGATGATAATGCTGGGCAAGATGGATGGAAGGAGAAGAAGAGTCTAACAATGCATGAGCCAAAGAATGCAACTGCAAGAATTGTGTAATGGGATGGGAAACAGAACAGCTTGGAGATCTTTTATCTATAGAACCAACAAGAGTCAACTATTACATGATGGAGTGTAACAACAAGAACAATTTTTACAATTGAGATCTTGCCAGAATGTGGATTATGTTTAAAACTGAGTTTGGAAAAAAGGGTATGATTCAGAACTGGAAAAGAAATATGACAAGGATGCATATAGTCCTCATATATGATTAACTATAAATAATATAAGAATGGCAGGACTGGAAAAGATAGTGGCTGAAAATAAGAGATGAAATATGAATAATCTGAGATATACAGACAATATCCTTTATTAACCCTTTTTTTAGTGGGGTAGAAGAGATCAGTGCGGGAATAAAAAAGTGAACAGTGAAAAACTTAGGTCTAATGTAAAATATTAAGGAAACAAGAAGTCAACACTTGCTTACAATTGATGGCAAAGAGAAGGTGATAATGAGTTTGTTTTCTTGGGCTCGTGAATAAATATAGATGAATTGTGTACAGTAAAAAGGAGATTAATCCTAGGTGGATAGTGTGCTTGAGAAATAAAGAGAAGTCTGAGGGCAAAAAAGTGAAGTTGGTGGATTGTTTCTTGGGCTCATGGATAAAGATGAACTGTCCTGGAGAAGTAAAGAGGAGATTAATTCTATGAAGGAAGGTAGCCAAGATCATGAAGTCTACGGATATTTCAGTGACAACAAACATAAGAGTAGTTAAAGCAACTGTAGGTATAATGTATAACTGTGAAAG